GCAAATCTGCATTATTACTTTAGTGAGTCATGTATCACATTCTGTTCATTTAACAGTTCAGACTAAAGTGTTATTTAGAGCTAGTGATTATCTTATGTGCAGTTTTATCCCTAACCAAGGTCAAATAAAAAGGAATAAAAAAAGGGAGTATACACACGGTGAGAGGCAGATTGGGAAGTCCACGTACCCCGATGATAGCATTCAGCTCAGTCATAGTCACCTGCTTAGCCCGCTCCACTGCCTGAGCAACCTGCTGTTGGTGCTGTGGGAAGACATTTACAAAAGATGACTGGGGCATGCCAACATCTATCACACACCCACACTCACTTATCTGTGAATTTCACACTTAATTTTCATAGTGCAGCTGCAATTTTAAAAGTGAGGGCAAATGTCACACACAATTAAGCAAAATTGCTAAACCAGAGTTTTGTTTGAAGTAGTATCTTTAGAATGCAGGCAACAATAAGTGACTTTATTTTAGTACTAAACTGTTACTCTGTTTGAGAGCCACATTCAAAACTCACCTCTTGTGACAGGAAAGGCATAATTTGAGCTAAAATTGCGTTGAGCCGTTTGGCAATCTCCGTCTGGAAACACAAAAGAGGAGCAAAATGAGACGGTAAAGTATGAAACAGACAGTGACTTCAAATAACCCCGCCTTTAATGTTTACACCGATTAAGTCAATTACTGCGGCAATCAGAACTGCTTGACTCAACATCCTCTAAACAGCGTGATATTGACATTTGAAATATTTAAAACATTAGGAGAGCCCAGGGGGATGGAGCACAGCTGTGCTGAGAGTGCACTCCATGCTAAACGGATATGAGCAGGCAGAGTGCTGCTGTGTTGAGAGGATCCTCTCTCACCCTGCCCTCCTTCCCCTCATCTGCAAACTGCGGTGTCCTGCAGTTAACCTCAGAGTTAAACCACACAACCACACCCCAGGAAGTGAGGCCCACTAACCAGACTGCACTGTTTACTTACATGTGACGGTGCAGACAATTTACATTAAAAGGGTTGTATCTGCAGTTTGAGCAAAGTTTACAACCCGTAATGACCTTCGAGGGTAACGCACCTCAAACTATGATCAATACCATTAGAACACAACTACCGGCCTCGGCCTGTACACACAAAGAGAGCAGAGTGTTAGAGCTCTGCCTTTCCGAGACTGAAAGCTGGACCATTTCTCACTGCAATCAGCTGCCCGGCACACCACCCTCCCAACCTCCCATCCATCCACACAGCCCTGTCTCCATTCTTCTGCTTGTCTACCAACTGCCATGGCAACGGCTGCAGCCCTATCTTGCTGGGATCATTATGCAAATGGCACCTCTGCTTGACCGTAACAGGCTTTAAAATCATATTACGTGCTTGGAGGCAGGTCATTAAATTGAATTTTCAGCCTGTCGATCACATGAACGTAGCAAATGAATGGTGGATAAAAAGATAACTTTATTCAA